TAACAACTAATAGCATAAATACAAAAAGCTGGTTTGCTAGTTTGTTTTTACACTAATTGGTATTGTACTACTCAATATTTTTTCTTAAAATTTTACAATAACATTAATTTATGTCAGTGGTCTTTCTGAAACGAAAAGTTATTTTAACTTTAGTCAAACAACGATTAAACCTGAATTATATGCAGAAAGATTTCGTAGAGACTTTGTAGATAAAAAAGGATAAAAATTGATTGGTTACATTGCGATTGGATTTCGTGTTCATAAAATTGAAGATGTCGAAAATTGAAGATCATCAACACCTTCACATCATCATCCACCAGCCTATTAGTAGTTAAGGTTTTTTTGGTAACCAATCACTACTTTCGTTATCAGGAATTAATAAGCAGTGACCCTTAAACGCATATTATATTTTATATTATATAACGCATATTTTTAAAACCTTGCATACCGACAGAAGTAGCTAAAGCCATCAAAAGTCTCAAAGACACCAAAGCGGTCGGGTATGATCATGTCTGTACAAATATTTTAAAAATGTGTACCAATATTATAGCATCACCTCTTGCACACGTCATAAATCTTTCTTTTGTCCAAGGCACATTTCCGACAAAATTAAAAATTTCCATTGTTAAACCTCTTTACAAAAAAGATGACCTCCTTGAATTAACGAATTATAGGCCAATAACTCTAATATCTGTTTTCTCCAAAATCTATGAAAAACTTATGCATAACCGTATTACTGTATTTTTCAATAAATTTAAGGTCATCAAGGAAGAACAGAATGGTTTCCAAAAAAATAAGTCGACTACACTTGCCGGATTTTCTTTATTAAAGACCATAACAGAAAATATTGATAATAGAATCCCAGTTACAGTACTATTTCTAGACATGTCGAAGGCGTTTGATTATGTTAACCATTCAGTCCTTTTAAACAAATGCCAACGCTATGGTATAAGAGGACCTGCCCTAGATTGGATACAAAGTTACCTTTCAGACAGAACCCAATGTGTTGAAATTAACCACCTTAACACAAGTCTTGTATCCGTACCTTGTAAATCCCCTTACCGACATAACAAATCAGGAGTGCCACAGGGTAGTGTTATGGGACCCCTCTTGTTCTTGTTATACATAAATGACCTTCCCAATATAACACCCCACCAATGTATCTTATTCGCAGATGACATATGTATCATTATCCCTAACACTGACCGAGCTAACAACCACCACGAAGAAGAGGCTAATAAAACCCTAGGACATGTAATACAATGGCTAACATACAATGACTTACAGGCTAACTTAACTAAAACTAAATATATACAATTTTCTAACTATCAAACAGTGACCAAAAAAATTACTTTGCAATATAATAATACAGTGATTAGTCCAACCACTGAAATTAAATTCTTAGGTATAACTGTAGACAACTACTGCAATTGGAAGTCTCATATACATTATGTATGTTCAAAACTTAACAAATTTGTTTACGTTCTAAGACAGCTTAACAAAACTGCTACTCAATCCACAGCAATTGCTGCTTACCATGGTTATATAGGATCAGTTTTACGATATGGTTTATTACTATGGGGCAACTCAACCTTAATAAACGAAGTTTTCCTGGCACAGAAACGCTGTTTAAGAGCAATGTGTAATGCCGGTCCCTTTGATTCTTGCAAACCCCTATTTCAGAAAACTAAAATACTTACCATTTTTTCCCTATACATCATTGAAGTTGGTCTCTTCGTAAGAAATCACCCACAATTATTCGAAAAAGTTTCAGAAAACAGTGCATTCAGCAAAAGAGATCCTAGTAAGATTGTTGTACCAAAATGCAGAACCACTCTGTATCATAGAAATTGTATGTTTATGTGTATAAAAATCTATAATAAAATACCCCAAACTATCAGAGAACTTCCATTAAGATTATTTAAAGTAAAAATAAAGGAATGGCTTACACAAAAATGTTATTATGCAATTAAGGATTTTTTAGAAAATAAGTAATGTGTAACTTTTATATATTTTTTGTTGTTAACTTGTAATTTTGTTTTAATTAATAATGTAATAGCCCAAATGGGCCTTGATTATTGTATGCCCAAACGGGCTGATTGTTGTACTGTATACCACTATAAATATGCATAACACCTGTAACCAACACAATCAACACAATAAAGACTACTTTACTTTACTTTACTTTACTTAAGTTCATCATCAATGTTATTATCATCATCATCACCATCATCATCAGTCTGTGATTGCTTAATATGTAAAGACCTCTTTACTCATAGAGAGATGGAATGTTCATCTTTATGCTCATGCTTGAAATTAGTAGGTACATACTTCTACAATAATATATTCTGATTTATTTTGTAGCTAATCTAAGAGAGACATTAATGTTACTGGGATGCCCTAGACTTCAATACTTCGTTGTTTGCATGGCTGTATCAGCTATACTCCTGATATTATCAGCTGTATGTATCTTTACAAGGTTAAGAAGAGTTGGAGCAGTTTTGGAAGATTGTGGTAGGCTTTTTTTTCAGGATACTAGGTTCAGACAGAGTATAGGGCATCTTTTTTGACGTGCAGATGCACGTCAAAAAAAGATGTCCTATTAACAAAATAAACAGAGGAAAAAGCTTTTTAACCACCCATTTCACGGTTTAAAGTTTTATAGGTATTTAGATATTACAAGTCCACTTTACCATGTTTCTGACTTCAGCGGTGTTTAAAAGCCGCCGTTAGCGTGAGTCGGACTGTAAGCAAGAGTAGCACAAGCGATTTAGGACCAAGTGAACGGAAGATCCATTAAACAACTACAAATAGGGCCCAATAAAGCTGATGTTCAGCAGGAGTAGTAGCTGCAAGCGCAATAATATAAAGGAGTGTGAGATGGAAAGGGGTGGCTTATAGTTAAAAAGAGTCTAACGCTCCCAAAAAGACATTTCATGGTTTAACATGGAACTTGAAACAACTACAAATAAATTAAAAATTGGTCCAGGTTTTTAACCTCATGATTGAGTAACATTCACGTTGACCTTCGAGCAACACTAAGATAACGCGCTTCAAACTTAGTCACAGCTTCACATAGAGACACTCGTAGATAAAGATTACATCAATGTCTTTTTAAGCAACAAACATCCAAAACATTAGACAAAACAAATGAATTATTTAATAGTATGTTGGTAAATAAGCAACGATCACCTGCTGTAAGCAAACGCGGGCCTATAGACACTCGCAACACCAAAGCCACAAAAATGTAATTAACCTTTCATTTATAGTTTATAGAGATTTGAGAATTAGGAATTCGGGATATGGGGGACAAAGATTATGTCTCCGGTAATCTCACTTACACGCCGAAACACTGCGCAAGAGTTTTCTCATGTCGGTATTCTGTGAGACGATGCTATCGCTTCGGTCGAGACGGCCCATTTAACACTTCCTAATTTTTATCTATATACATTATAGATAAAATTACGTAAACTAAGCACCTGGTCTTTTTCCACCCAATTTATTATCTGTCATTATATTTAATTATTACAGAAGTGTATATCATCTTATATTTAGAATAAAATATTTATCAACACGATTATAATTACAATGCTCTTTTAATACGAGGTTATCATTTTTTACTGATATCATTAAGGCACATTTACACTTATAACTCTGACAGCAATGTGACTTGCAATTTATATATGTATATCGATAAACTAGGGACGCGTCCCTGCTTTGTTTGGGTGTCTTACGACTTTACTTACGACGACCGACGAAATAAACGCTATTTCTCATTTCTCTCCTCTAATTTTCCAAAAATTTATTTCATTGAACCTTTTTCTGATAGTAACAACCTAAAAGAAAAACGTTCACGTTTGGTCGCGCACGTACAATGTATAATGTGGGCATGTGTTCTTTTCGTTTTTGACTATGCCTTAACCATTATCATCCTTACTTAGGCTACTTGTACTGGAGTTTCTTCCCACAATTCAAATTCTTGCCTGTGCTTTTAAAATAATTTTTTGTTCAAAATCTATTTTTTGAATTCGTGGTGAATGAAACAATAAAATGGTGACCAATAGAATGGTGGGTTTACGAGTGAACTATATTTTATTCATTAATTTATTGTAAGTATTTCATCAATTAAATATATTCACCAAGCAGTTTCGAAAATACTATATATTTCAGAGTAACGTGACGAATGTGATCTGAACGATGGAAGCAATCTTTGCGCAACTAGCAATTAATAAATATAAATTAAAAATTAAAAAACCCCAGACACTAAAAACTTAATAACATACACAAAATTTAAAAAGTATATAATACAAAAAAACTTAATTGAAATCGTATTATGAGGTGCTATGATGCCATGATGACACACAGACAGACACGTCAAACTTATTAAATATTTTGTTTTTTGTGACGTACACGTCATAACCTTTCATTTGATACCCCACTTGAGCATATTTGCAAACATTCGGTTTTTCTTCCCCACTTTAACCCCCCATAACTTTTAAGAAGCTGAATCGATTTTCATCAAACATGTCTAAGAACACTCACCCATAAAACACCTGTAATACAAAAAAAAAACTAAATTGCAATCGGTACATTCGTTGAGGAGCTATGATGCCACATACAGACAGATAGACACGTCAAACTTATAACACCCCTCTTTTTACGTCGGGGGTTAAAAAGAACCAATTGATCGTGTAACCATCTTTCAAGAAAGAAAAACAAATAAATTTTATAAAAAAAGAATAATTTGAAAAGCATGCAACCAATCATAATGTAGACACTCCTTAAATAATTGTGGCTAAACATTTTACCAGATGACGATTACGATTATTTCAATAAATTGACGTGAATTGACTCCTTACATTGCTCAATAAATAAGACAATTGTGAAAAGCATCGTCATGTTGCGCCAACACAAGAAGCGATAGCAAAATAATTCAATGTCATGAACGCAACACGCCGTCTAATAAATACTATCAGGCAGTTAATTCACCGAACAGTCTACACGCAGCATACGTACTCGCACGACCATGTCTTTAGTCAAACTTTTGACCGTGGTTGCCTGTTTAAGTTTATCAGTACCATTTAGTAATGGTGCTAAAATTTTAGGATTTTTCCCATTTCCATCTATCAGTCATCAAGTCGCATTCAGACCTCTGATGCACGAACTTGCTCGAAGAGGCCATCAAGTAACTGTAATCACACCAGATCCAGCCTTTCCCAAAGGAGGAACGCCACCTAATTTAACCGAGATCGATGTCCACGATGCGACATACCGCATGTGGCACGAACAATTCGTGGCCACACCAAAAGGCCATAAAGGGAATCTGGTAGCCGATTTCAATATCATCTACAAATTAACAGCAAAAATTGTAGATGTTGAATTGAAAGATGAAGAAGTGAAAAGATTGATTAACGATAAAAATCAAACATTCGATCTTATATTCGCTGAAGCTATGATGAGGCCTGCGATAGTATTTTCACATATATACAAAGCTCCGGTGATTTTAATGAGTTCCTTTGGATCGTTTAGTGACAATTACGAAGTTATGGGTGCGCCTATCCATCCATTTTTGTATCCGTTTACTGTGAGCAGAAGATTGCACAGTACGTCATTGTGGGATAAAATAGGACATTTGTACGATTACATTAGGATTACCATGATACAGAAGAACAACTACATTGAAGAGAATCGAATACTCAGATCGCATTTTGGAGATAACATACCATCAGTTCAAGAGATGAACAACAATGTTGCTATGTTATTCTTGAATCTGAATCCAATTTTCGAAGGAAATCAACCGGTTCCTCCCTCTGTTATACATGTGGGTGGTATTCATCAGAAGCCTCACAAGCCTCTACCAAAGGTAAGATTTGTTTATTATCTATATTTTTCCAAAACAAATACCATATTTGTGCTAAAATCAACACCAATTTACTAAACATTATGTTTACTGATAATAGTTTCCTCCTAAATAACCAATTTGTTATTTTATCGTCAAATTAATTGTCGTACCTTTGCGATACCCGGTTGTAATTTTTAAGAAATCACTCTGTACATCCTATTGTGATTGAAAGATCTTATGTCAAACACAATTATTTTTTATATATTAATTTTGAAATAAATTTTGAGATATTAATAAAATGCGAACGATACAAATAAATTAATTTCAAACGACGTATTTTTTCTTAAATTTTTATAATGTTTGATATTAGTAACATATCATACTCCATCCCCACTGTTTTTGAGAACATAATAATTTAACTAAGTAAATATTCTGTGCTCAGCATAATAATATTAGCCCAAAAGACCAATTTAGTTATTAGGACAATTTAACACATATACAATTTCGTTCTCAGGACTTAAAATCATACCTGGATTCTTCGAAAAACGGCGTAGTTTACGTCAGTTTTGGAACAAATGTGGATCCAACATTATTTTCGCCGGAGAAAATTGCAATGTTCGTACGAGCTTTCTCCCGATTGCCTTACGACGTGCTATGGAAGTGGAACAAGGACGAACTGCCAGGGCGTACAGACAATATCAAGATATCTAAATGGCTCCCACAGTCTGACCTGCTGAGTAAGTCTAGTTGTTGTAGAAAATAGAGTTTTGTATAGGATAAGTGAACGCATTGAAGCAATACGACACGTGAAAGCAATATTTTTCGCTTTAAAATTTTGTTTATACCTTGCTACAGAAACATTAATAAAAGTTTAACTTAATATGAGCCAATGAAACTCAAAAATTTTAACGTCTCAAATATTATAGTCTAAACTATTTTTGGGTATATCGAACTCAAAAAATAACAAGCATAATCGTCATAGCAAGTAATATTAACTTTATTTGGCAATAAACTCATAATAAATTGCAGATGTTTATTTCCTACCTTACTTAACTAAAGGGCACACAATAATTTATACATAATATATATTTTTATTTATTTTAGACAGTATATTTAATTATGTTTGAGCTCTTTGCGATTCAAAAGTAATAATAATATGTTAATGACGCAGTGGCTGGGCTCCTGGCTGACATGCACCATGCCGTGGGTTCGATTCCTGCACAGGACAATTCTTTTTACGATCCACAAGGTTGTGTTTCGGGTATGGACGTGACGTGTTTGTCAAAATTAATTGTTTCGTAATCGCAGCCGAGACAGGAGCAAATCACAGTACGGGACAGAGTTTAAAAAAAAGTTAAAAACAGTTTTAATTTAATTGTTCAACTTTTTGCAGGACACCCAAAAATCAAAGCGTTTGTAACACAAGGAGGTTTACAATCGACAGACGAGGCTATAACCGGAGGCATCCCTATGATTGGAATACCAATGTATGGAGACCAATGGTATAATGTAGTCAAGTACGAAAAACTGAAGATTGGCCTGAAATTGGAGTTAGATACTCTTACCGATGAAGCTCTTTTAGAAGCTATACACAAAGTTATTGATGATGAAAGGTTAGTGTCAAGAACAGTTCCTTTACTTTTTCTAAATCAACCTAAGATTGACTGATAAGAATATTCATGACTTCAAGTCAGTCTACGTAATACAATGCATGCATAAAGATTAAATAAGTAAATAAAATAGGAAGTGCTAAAATAGAAGAAGTTAAAACTGCAAATGTAGAGCTTTATCTACAATAGGTAATAACTATCGTGTTGACTGACGACAGAAAAATAGTGAAGGCAAATCGTCCGCCAATTTAGGTTATCGGTGACCTACGTGGTCGTTAAAATTTGGTGTAAAATTAATTTGGTTATTCCTATCTAGGTATTCAAATGTGAATATCATTCGGTTGATAGCTGGCTAGGAGTGAACTAAAATGAAAGTGGTGAAGTGTGAAGAAATATTTAAGTGGATCCTAAATTAGCAAATTTTACAAATTAAAATTACATCTACTGCTGTACCTGGCTTACAGAAGTTGCGGCAGTATTGAGAGGTTGAGGCAAATAAACACAAAAATTTTGCTATACAAGTTTGATAGGAAAAAAATGTGCAACTATGGTAGGAATGAGGCTTATTACAATTACACTGCCCTGTTAGCTGGTTGGAAAAAATTAAGAAATACTTTGGAGAGACCCGAACAACAGGACCAAAACGGGCTGATGGTGAATTTGAAAATGTATTCTTATTCCATTTTTTCTTTATTAACAGTTACCGTCGCAATGTAAAGAAATTGGGCGAGCTGATGACTGATGAGCCGATGACACCACTAGAGCGCGCTGTGTGGTGGACGGAACACGTGCTGCGTCACGGCGGCGCGAGACATCTCCGAGGACCTGCAGCCAACATGTCGTGGGCAGAGTACTATGAACTAGACCTAGTACTAACACTTCTCTTAGCGCTAGTCATCGCCATAGCAACCATCGTTCTAATCGCAAAATATTTATACAATCAAGTTTTTACAAAATACATTGCTATTATAAAAACTAAGCGCGCGTGATGATCATAATAATATCATTTTATGGAAGATTTTGTGATTGTATAGATATGTACGCTTCATTGAGTATAAAAAAGATAAGTTATTTACATTGACTGGATATAATAATATGAAAGCTAAAGTGCCTGTCATTTCACACGGCATGATAAGCAAACTCATAAATACACATTATCCTATCATAATCTATTTTGTAATTAGTTCCTGTGGATAAAGTCAAAGACATAGGTAGGATTTATTTTCATTAATCGTTAAACAGGCATTTTGATATCACATGGTTGAATAGTCAGTCTGTATATCATTGGATATAATTGCTTATTAACAAGCGTAGGTAGATTTGTTAGGAGAATAACTGGCAAGTAAAGTCCGTGCACAAAAAAAAATCATATTAGACCTATTCCAAAATACAAAACGTCCTCTAAATATGTTGGTTCAGAACATAATGATTGGTTAACGCCGTATTTTTATCTTAATTCTTGACATCACTACATAGTATAAAACCAAGTCGCTTTCTCTGACCCTATCTGAATTTTTAAAACTATATAACGGATTTTGACGCCTTTATTAGTTCTAGTAAATGAAGAGGAGGGTATATGTGTATTGTATAATAACATCTATTAAGAAGTGGAGAAATTTAGTATCAACAATGCAGCCGTGCAAAGTTGGGATGGGTCGCTAGTCGCTATAAAAATCGTCTACGCATGTAAAAGATTTTTTTAGCCGCATCTGTAGGATTTCAAAGATTTATAGTTATGTAGGTACATTCGTTTTGGCATTAATATTGTAAGTCAATTTTACTTCATCTGTAGTTTAACTCATTGTAACGCTCATGATCTCTCACCAAAGATAAATATTATAATTAGTATATAATTCACAATGACCATTATTAAATAATTTTAGTTAGTAGGCACTTAATTTAATGTTTAAAATGTTGTAGTGATAATAAATAAATTAATATAAATAGAAATATTATTTTTATTTGGATTATTTTTTTTCCATTCACGGGATCGCAGGACGGGGACGGGACCATTGAAAGGTATACGAGGGGCCGAGGCCACCTTGCAGAGGCCCGTTGAACCAGTTTTAATCTAAATGTGATGGGACATCAGCCGGCACTGAAGTATACCTATATGCACTATAAAAGTACACCCTGAGGATCTCCATGAGGATTTTCCAATTCGACACCAAAAAAGGACTATTGTGCAATATGGTAGAAAATTATATGGTTATGGGTGTGGGTGGCTATGAGCTGATAGATGATACCTATGGAAATACTATGGTCCCTGCCCCTGACCCATATAGATACAAACGGATAAACAGGAAGGGGGTGACTGGCAAATTCAATTGATGGGCCCATGATACGTTGCGCCACGGTCATCAGAGCAATTCCAGAAGTACGGTGAAGACCCCTACCAGCATCTTACTGAGATACATACTTTCCCCGAGTCTCCTTCAACTCCTACTCTTGCGAATATCCACTCATGCCAGCAAATCAAGGCAAGAATGAGGTAGGGGGGCTTGTTCCCCATCAGTGTCCACTCCAGCTAGTTGCGAGGACTAACAGGAGATGAGGAACAAGATACCTTCCGGGAGTCAGGTCCGCTGACTTGAGGATTGGTGGTTTCTACGGATATCCAAAAAATGGCCGTCAACGCATTTGTAACTCTTGGGGTGCTACGGGTGCTTATATCGATGAAGACAACTTATCACCTTCAAAATTTATTTTTATTACGGCTACAGTTTTATACAACTAACTCTTCCAACAAAAAAGACCTATGGTAAAAACAAATTTGACTCAGTAGAAAATTTTGAGATTCAATCTAAGATTTTACTTAAAAACAGTAACCGCACTAATACTTTAAACAAAGTGGGTCTTTCTATTTAATTTTGATCTTAAATTATGTTTCTGAAAGACGTCCTTATGTCTATTGGTCAGTCATTGCCATCAAGCAAAAATACTATTGCATAACATTATACAATCGATTATCAAAAGTCAAATGTTTGAAATTTAACGGTCATTTAAATATTGCACAATATTATGTATTATCTTTTAGCAGTAACCTCTTCTTATAAATTGGTCTTTATACAAATAAATTGATCAGTGTGCTTTCCGACTTCAACCAAGCAGGTCACGTACAATGTCGTTTTTATTGTTCATTGCGACGTGTTACACTTTAGTGTTTGCTCCATGTGAAGCCGCGAGAATTCTCGGAGTATTCCCAGTGCCATCGATCAGTCACCAAGTGGTATTTCGTGCTATAACTCAGGAACTAGCTCGGAGAGGCCATGAGCTGATCATTATCACGCCAGACCCAGCCTTCCCTAAAGGTAAAACCCCTGCGAATCTCACAGAAATTGACGTCCATGATGTAGCGTACAAAATGTGGAGGGATGATATTCAAGACATAGTTATAGGAGAAATTCATGGAATCTTATCCGAATATGCCATTATAATGAAACTAATGGCAAAAGTACTCGATGTAGAATTAAAAGATAAACAAGTGCAAAAATTACTAAACGATAAAAGCCAAAAGTTCGATTTGATATTAGCTGAAGCTTGTGTCAGATCAGCTGTTGTGTTCTCTCATATTTACAAAGCGCCTGTCATTTTGATTAGTTCGTTTGGACCGTTTCTTGATAATTACAATGTTATGGGCGCTCCTACTCACCCACTGCTATATGCCAATAATATGAGTCGACGATTCAACAATCTGACGATGTGGGATAAAATTGTGAAGTTATATTACCGATACAATATTGAAGTGATGCTGAACAAGAACTATGCATATGAAAACCAAATGCTCAGATCACATTTTGGACCGGACTTACCACCAATAGAAGAAATATACAACAATGTTGCAATGTTCTTTTTGAATCTTCATCCGATATTTGAAGGCAATTATCCTGTACCACCGTCAGTGGTACATATCGGTGGTATTCATCAGGTTCCTGAAAAGGATTTGCCCAAGGTAATTATGTTGTTCAATGATTTATGTACCTAACATTTTAAACAATCACTCTTTGATATTGCAAATTGGAAATCATTTTAAACCATAACTACGTATTTGTCTTGCGTTTTGCATCTTATTTTATTAATCTACTTGCCTTTCCCCCACGACTTTGCACGCGAATAAATGTAATGAATCCCGAGATTTTTAAAATTCACAAATCAAGTGTAATTTATGGCACATAGCACTCGTGAACATTGTATCTATTTCTAATAATATAATAGTAAACTATCTATTAGTAAAAGCATTTTGGGAATCCAACGAGCTGTTCCAATGATTATCTCTTACATACAAACTTGCTAAATCTCATTATAATATTAGTAAAGATATTGTGCTTTACAATTTTTTGATAATCTTTCCATTCTTGTATCCTAACATTTTATGCTTCTTACTAGCAACTTTAATTTCCAGGAGCTCCAAAATTACTTGGACTCGTCCAAAAATGGTGTGATCTACGTAAGCTTCGGTACCAATGTGGAACCATCAACTTTACCAGCTGAGAAGCTTAAGGTTTTGGTAGACGTCCTGTCTAGAGTACCTTATGATGTACTGATAAAATGGAACAAGGACGTCCTTCCTGGAATTGGTGCCAACATCAAATTGTCTAAGTGGCTACCTCAGACTGATTTACTGAGTAAGTTAATAAATATTAATTTCCTATACCTCTAGCTGGGGTTCCGGGTGTAAGCACAATACAATACAGCGGCTAATTTGAAGAAGGAATCGGTTGGTTACAGTCAGTTAGCGTCTAACACTTCCTCTTTTACCAACGAGAACAAGGCAACGAAGTCATTTGACAAAAAAAATACATTTTACAATACAGTACTTGCGACCGTCTCAGCTTCGCACGGGAGAAAAACTGATACATATATTTTTCACTGGATGATATTGTATATTACAAACCTTTCTCTTCAATCACTCTATCTATTAATAAACATCATATTAATCTGTTGGGTAGTCTTAAAGATTTAAGCATACATGGATATAAGGACAGAGATACTGACTTTGTTTTATAATATGTAGGGTTAATGTTCTAAGGATTAGAATAACAAATGTCATAACAAAGCAAAACTAAGTTCTTGGAAGACAACTATTCTATCAATATCAAAAACAATACGTAATATAGTTTTAATGAATTAATTTCAGGACATCCCAAAGTTAAGCTGTTCATAACACAAGGAGGTCTACAATCAACAGATGAAGCTATAGCAGCTGGAGTACCTCTAATTGGTCTTCCAATGTGGGGAGACCAGTGGTATAATACGGAAAGATACGAACGACTTAAGATTGGACTCATTTTGGATATCAAGACGCTTACAGAAGAAATTTTCGAAAATGCTATCAATAATGTTATTGAAGATGAAAGGTAATTAATTTGAATATTTGATTCGTTTGAGGAACACGTTTGTGATGTTGTATTATTTTAAAATTCGTCTCTATTTTTTTTTGTATCCTTAAAATTTATTTTTTTCTGGTTCTGCAAGAAGCCCAAATTCTAGGCAAGTTTAATTTTATAGGTACATACATTTTATACTACGGTACATAGGTCGGCAAACGAGCAGGCGGATAACCTGATGGTAAGCAATCGGCGACGATCGTAGACACTTGTAATATTAAAAGAGTAACTTCTTTTACAGTCTTGTGGGTTATGACGGATTTAAGGATAGGGGATTTGAGGATTGATAATGGGGGGACTACACTTACCTTGTGTTTCGCCGTGAAAGTTACTTAACACAAAGTAAGTGCTGGTTTCAAACTCCTCGAGGATCGTTTCTTAGAAATTAGGGCTTAGGCTTAGGGCTGGAAATAATCATGAACCTTTATGTGATTAGGGTAGAACCATAAGACTGTAGCTAGATACTGTCATCACCAAAACTTTCTTCTTTTCCAGTTACCGTCAAAACATTCGGAAACTGAATATGTTAATTCGGGATCAGCCTCAACCTCCTCTAGAGCGTGCCATCTGGTGGACGGAGCACGTACTACGTCACGGTGGTGGAAGCCACCTTCGAGGGCCTGCCGCCAACATGTCATGGGCAGAGTACCTCGAACTAGAATTAATACTAGTCATAGCTTCAATACTATTATTAGCAATTACCATATTCATGATAGCTTCCTATTATTTTTATAAGAACGTTTTAAAACAATATCTAATTGCTAGTAAGGTTAAAAGAAATTGAACAGTCAGCGTTGAACATCATGTCATGTCGATCGAGTTGACGCAAAAGAAACTCTCTTAAGGCACTCAGGTACTGTTACTTTGTCAGCGTAAGGGTAGCTCGCCGGGCGACCAAAACAGAGTGTACGGCGCATCGTGTTCCATACGCGCTTTTTAGTCTTAATAGTGTAATTAGATTACCAGAAATGGGAACAATAGAGCCAATGTTTAGCTGGCCTAGAGTGGGAGAAGGAACAGGGTGGTTTTAGTCAGTAAGAGTCCGACACCCACGCCACCAGTCGCCTCAGGTTGGGCTTTGAAAAGTCGTATAATGATTTTCTACCATTAAAAAGGAAACTTTGCTTAAGTACCTAATAGTCAGATCGCGTGAAAAGGAATCCAATTGTACTCTTACCCTGTGTGCCAATTTTGTTTTATATTTTCTTGTGTGCCAAAAATAAATTTAATTCAAACCAAAGTTTTAGTATAATAAGATATTAGTTTTAAAATGGGAATTAAATCTGTTTTTTTAAATTATTTTTTCTTGTATTTTTTATTAAGTTCGTCCAGTTAGTCCCACTTAAGACTATTGTTAAGTGTATTTTTTGAGAAAAATTGAGTTTGAAAGCATATTTACAGACACCGAAATACAACTTACTGTCAAACTGCTAGCTTAGATTTTTTCTAAGTAATAAATTTGATAAAACTATGCAACAGATTACTATCACCGAATATATTAACAGATTAGTGTTTAAAAATGAAACCGCCTGGGGGGTAACCATGACATTCAATGTAAGACTGTTTTAATCTTATTTCAGTGTGGGTAAGAGATAGAGCTATACAAGTTGTCTAGCTCTGTCTCTTCGTCTAACGTCATGGTTAGCCCCCTGAAATATTTATCACACCAATCCTCTATCCGTCGTAAATTATTGTATTACCAAGCGTGTAATGTACATAGTTTATTTCTTAATACAAAATTAAAATAATATAAGTTGTTATCCAAACTAATGTTACAAATTCGAAAGTAACTCAGTCTGTCTGTCTTTTCTTCACGCCTAAACTACTTTACCGATTTCTGTGAAATTTGGTACCGACATAGTTTGGAACTCCACACAGGAAGGACATAGGACAGAGGGACAGAAAGGACATAGGATAGCTTTTAGACGCAAAATACGAGTACTTTAGGTAAAACTCTTTGCAAATGATTAGGTACGTAATTAATTTTTCGTCTTCGTGACTTTACTTACGTAGAATTGAAATTTCGATTGTAGGGAGTATTAATTGGTTAAATATTGAAGTTTCTTATTGAAACATTCTGGACACAATTATGAACTTTATGTATTTTATTTTATTATAGAGTGTTTTTGGCAAAGCAACATTACTCATAGCACCTGGCACGTTGTGCAAATCTATGATGATTAGCAAACGATCGATAGCAGCTGGACCTATAAAGGATTTAATGAGTTTATCTTCTATAATCTTGGCCTTACATCATAATATTGGATGTTCAAAAAGTGGGAACGTGTGATAAGATAATAATTGATAGGTTGCTTACAGAAAAAGATAAAAAAGATGCGCATACTATCTGTAATCCGAAAAAAAGGTGGCAGAACTCCCCTGCTAGAAAATATACCAATATTTTTGTTTAACCATTAAATTTATATGCAACTACTAGCAGACCCCTCATATCATATTTCAGCAAAATTGCAAATTTCACCAATCAGCGCCATCTGCCTGACTGATTTGTGAATTTAAACTATTTAAAAATTCAATTAAATCTGTCAAGCCGTTAAAGAGGAGTTAATATACATACACACGTACAGCAGATACGGCATATATAGACACGTACGTAGATGACTTTTCCATTTTTTTGAGGGGGTAAAACTCTGACTGGTGTTGTTCTCTGTTTTAATATTCCATATTATTTTATATTGAATCATGAATTATGTACACTAAACATTTTAGACTGAACATAAAAAGTTTGGATATTTAGGTCACGACGTTTATTTGTATAGCTTATACTCATAATTTTTATTTTATCTTTGACATTTGTATTGTGTATACACTATCTGAGATTAGTTTGGTCATTAAATGTTGCGAAGATAAGGCACAGATAAGGTTACTTGCTGATTAAGATCTTTTTTTTTGAGCTACCATTTTTAACGTTATGTATACAAATTGGCGAATATTGCCAGTATTCTTGCTGGCTATTTTTGAACGAGCAATTCTTGAAAGAGCTCCAACGATTTTCATAGAATTTCATTATCATTTCCAAGATCTGGAATATATAGCAACAATACAACAATGAATGAATGTATGTTTATATTTTTATTAACTATGTGATTATTGAGCATCTATTACAGAAATATTTAAAAACATAAAAACAGATTATCCAAACTAATATTATAAATGCGAAAGTAAGTCGGCAAACGAGCAGACGGATTACCTGATGGTAAGCAATCGGCGCCGTTCATGGACACCCAAGGACAACAAGGCAACATCAAAGGAGTTACGAGTGCGTTGCCGGCCTTTTGCGGATAGGGGTTGCGGATATAAGAATGGGGAAGAGATAGGGGAAGGGGAGGGATTGGGCCTCCGGTAACCTCACTCACATGGCGAAACACAACACTGTGGGTTGTTTCACCCCAGTATTCTGTGAGGCCGTGGTATCACTCCGGTCGAGCCGACACATTGGGGTCGAAGCTTGGCTCTCCCACAGTTAAAGTCTGTCTGTCTGTGTGTCTTTTCTTCACGCCTAAACGACGGAACCTATTTGGGTGAAATTAGGCACAGACCTAGTTTTGAACTCAAGAAAGGACATAGGATAATTTTTAAATCATAAATCTGCAGGAATTCACTATTCCTCGCGAACAAATTCGCACGCAAAAGCTTTTATATAGTACTATAAATTTAATTCTTTTCATGGGTTAGGTCGGCAAGCGGGCATTCCGATGGTAAGCAATCGGCGCCGATCGCTGCGGGTGTCCATCCCGCAACACCAAAGGAGCTACGAGTGCGTTGCCCGCTTTTTGGGCATAAGGGTTTCAGGTGTATAAGGTTTGTATTGTATCTAATTAATATTTTCTTAGGTTTTTTTTTGTGAGGGGAAAATCATCAAATGACTTCTCCCGCCCAGGGTCGGGCAGGAGGGAGTGTCAGACTCTTACTGACTAAAAACCCCCCTGTTCCTCAATTGCAAGCTCGAATAATCTATCTGTCTAATTAGGAACTTATTTTTGACTAAAAATATATATATATATATCCTGCATATATTTTGACAAAATCCTCATAAGAAAAACAAAACAAAAACGTATATAGTAAATTTACGTACGGTTTTTTTAGGATTCCGTAGCTGAATGGTGAAAAACAAGAGCCTTACAGTTTCACAATGTATGTCTGTCTGTCTATCCGAAACAATACTGTTGCGACTAGTTAATCAGATGTGTTCTGTAAATCGCATTATGACTTTCATATCAAAATAAAGATAACAATCAATTTAGCTACAATTTTCAGAAATGACACATTTTTTTGAGTTATTCTTCAAAAACTACCTTATCATAAAAATGGTTTGCTTTTATTCCTGGGTATACAGGAGAAGTTTTAATGGTCTGAAAACATAACGAAATAAAACTGATATGAACTATTACTATATTTGAGACTGTACAAAGTTTCTCAGATGAGCTAGTATTTTATAAATATATTTTTTTGTTTAATTGATTAGTTTGTGGAAGAGACACCTCTAAAGTGCTACAATGTGTATGTCCTGTTGGAATAACAAAAATCAATCTACTCATTATTCTCACGCCACTATTATAAGTGCCTTAAGTGGCCAGCTAACCCTCACTGAGATGTTTGCATCTCGCCCTCATTCTGTTCTGCTAACGCCTTCAGGCAACACACACCTCCTAAAGTATAATAATAAATTCCACCTCTGCTATTTGATAAATAAACTTAGTTTTATTTCATCAACCCAAACCTAACAGGTTATGGGCCCAGTGCACCAGTGCACCAGTGCAGTGCAGTAAAGTACAGTGTAAATAATAATTACTAGAAGTATCGTAAATACTTTTAAAAGACAATTAATAAATTTTAAGTGACTTTATTTTTATAAATATACTGTGAAATTAAAAACAGTGAAAATGGACAGCTCCAACTTGAAACGGAACATTAAACAATTCGACGGTGAAAGATATAGTGTTTGGAAATTAAGAATTCGTAATCTATTAAGTGAACGTAATGTACTTCATGTGATTGATGAAGAATTGCCAAGCGAACCTAATACTGAGTGGATTAAAAGTGTCAAAATAGCGAAAAATATTTTGGTAGAATATTTATCAGACACTTTACTCGGTTTAGTTACTGAAAAATCTTCAGCTAAAGACATTTTCAATAAATTAGATTTGATATATGAGCGAAAAAGTACATCTAATCAGTTAACTTTGAGAAAACAACTTCTCAATATGAAGTTTAATGAAGACCAATTAGTAAAGCATTTTCAAAATTTTGATGATTTAATATGCGAACTAGTATCGGCGGGAGCAACGTTAAATGAGAACGATAAAATAACGCATTTATTCATGACACTACCCAACTCTTATAATAGTGTTATTACTGCGATCGAAACTTTAGCCGAAGAAAATTTAAACTTGACATTCGTGAAAACTAGATTGCTAGACCACGAAATTAAACTAAACAATGAAAATCGAGACACAAGTTTAAAAGTATTACAAGCTAAAACTACGTCGTTTTCAAAAACAAATAAATTCCCAAATGCGACCTATCATCAACAGAAACGGGGTCAACAATTATTAAATAACAGATTTAAAAGAAATGTTAAGTCTAAAAACGTGAAATGCTACCATTGTGGAAGAAAAGGTCACATTATGAAAAACTGTTATTACAACAAGATGGCAACTGAACGGTTTCAAAGGCCTGAACACCGTCGAACAATACAAGTAGTGAATACTGAAACAACTGATCCAAACATATCCGGATTTGCATTTATGGTAGGAGCAAATGCCATAAAACGTAATAACCAAGAAACCATTACATTTGTGCTGGACTCTGGCGCTTCAGACCATTTCATCAACAGGCCAGATTTAGCGGAAAAGTTTACAGAATTAGAAAAACCAGTAAATATCTCCGTGGCGAAGAACGGTACTTACATCCAGGCTACAAGAAAGGGAAACTTACCGGT